GCACTTTGGGAAGCCAAGGCGGAGCAGATCATGAGGTCAGGAGTTCGAGACCAGTCTGGCCAACAGTGAACCCGTTCTCTACTAAAAATACAAAAAATTAGTCAGGCGTGGCGGCGGGAGCCTGTAATCCCAGGTACTCAGTAGACTGAGGCAGAATTGCCTGAACCCAGGAGGTGGAGGTTGCAGTGAGCTGATATTGAGCCACTGCACTCCATCCTGGGCTACAGGGTGAGACTCCATCTCAAAAAAAGAAAACAGACTACCGGAAGGAGACCTCCTTCAAGTAGATTTCACAGAAATGTCCAAAACAGGGAGACTAAAGTATCTACTGGTAACGGTGGACCACCTCTCTGGCTGGGTGGAGGCCTTCCCCCTCCCAACTGCCACTGCCAGGAATGTGGTCAAAATAATCTTAGAAAAAATTATACCCAGATTTGGCCTGGTGGAAAATATTGATTCAGATGATGGGCGCCACTTTGCCTCGAGGGTGCTAAGGGGAATTATGGAGGGTTTACTCCTTGGATGGGATTACTATACCCCTTGGCATTCCCCTTCCTCTGAAAACATAGAAAGAATGAATCAAACTCTCCAAAACCATCTTATTAAACTAATCTTAGAAACTAAAATGCCTTGGACCAAATGTCTCCCAACAGCTCTCCTTAGGATTAGGTCAGCCCCAAGGAAAGACTTGGCATTGATTGTCCCCTTATGAGTTATTCCATGGACTCCCACATTTAGGTAGGACTATGGACCTTCCTACTATGGAACCCAAAGAGCAATTGTTAAGAAATTCTATACTGGCCATATCCTCCACCCCGTCATCCCTTAGGCTGAAAGGACTTCTGACTCACAGCCTGCCCCGTGAGTTCACGGTTCACCATATCCAGCCTGATGACTCAGTGCTAAAGGAGACAAGCTCTACCTGAGCTGGAAAGGACCCTATCAAGTGCTCCTGACCACTGAGGCAGCCGTACGAACAGCTGAACAGGGGTGGACACATGACACACGGTCAAGAGACTGGTAAAGAACCCCCAGAAGGAAGGGAAAAGGGTGAAGGGGACGTGTATAGATCACCGAAGGAATCCTTCGGCTAACTCCAGAAAAACCTCGAAGGAAAATATGAGCAGGCTCTGTCACTGGGGGTGGATGTGGTTAGGATTAAGCCTCCTACCGGGGTGAGAGGGTTCACAATTATTGGATGGAGCCGGAGGAAGAAGAAGATCCAGTCAACTAAGAGTCGGCATAGCTAGAACCTCCATCCCCCAGACCACAAAGTTCGATGCCTGCCAAGTATTCCATGGTGGGTATTTAGGGAAACAAAGGCAGCTGTCACGAGCAAACATGCGTGTCCTGAAACCGTCACCACGGGGAAAGCCCTGCGCCAGCTGGAATGACGCCTAATGGACCACCCATTTCAAGGCTGGGTGAGCCATCGTTCCAAAAACAAACCCTTGAAGAATAAAATGCATTTGCATAAGGGCCTCACGCCACCTAACTGTGGAAATTTAGAATGCAATCCTGGATTAATTAACATCAACCAGCTACTCTAGACCAGGAACCTTGGAGGTATGGACTAGGAATAAATATCTCAGGAAAGGATCCTGGGGAACGGTTAGCTTTTAGGGACAGCACCATCTCCATCCCAAGCCCACCCAGGATTACTATAACTCCTGGTCCCAGTACCTCCTTCAACCTACTGGACAATGATACCAAGAGAGTAAAAATAATTAAGGTAACTGACTTGAGGCAGACTTTAGAAATTGAGACTGGATACGGGGATGCAAATGCCTGGGTTGTATGCGTCACATTTTCAGTACTAGCTCTTAATAAGAGCGACGGTTACCCATGCTCAGCTGGACGGCCTCAGGCAGATGTGGTTCCGTTTCCCCAGGATGGGATGCCAATCCCGACGCAATGCGCTGCATGTTGGCTGTACGCCAGGACAGGGATACGTGGCGCACTGGGACCTGCAAGTCTATCTTTGCTCTTCCCCGCCTTGCGGAGATCAGATCCTAGAGCAGCCCCTCACTCTCCTTAGGTTGCCTCTCTAGGCAGGGGCAGAGTTCAACAAGCCTGTGAGAGAACTCTCAACTTGTACCCACATCCTAAACACCATTGGCGAGTCAAACAAAGGCAACTGCTTGGCTTTTTATAAAGCCCGGGCTGATGTCTGGTGGTATCGAAGAAAGAGCTGCCTCCATGACCTGCTACCGTCCAATTGGACCAGGACTTGTACCTTAATTCAAGCTGCCATTCCATAAGGGCCCTGAGAATCTACATGGTCACTGACATCGGAGATCTAACAAATCCTTTTGATCCCAACGTTCATGCTGACTCCATAGGAGTCGTAGAGGACTACCTAATGAATTTAAGGCCCCAAAGCAAACAGCTGCCGGGTTTGTGTCCGCACTCTGCTGCTGGTCAACTATTAATAAAATGTGCATTGGATCTATTACCTCTATTATAATTCAACAAAGACTCATCAACTGTACTGGAGACGCTCTCAAAGGAGTGGCTAGCCAGTTAGACACCACCAGCCGAATGGCCTGGAAGAACAGACTTGCACTAGACATGACTGTGGCAGAGAAAGGGGCATACGCATCATGCTGGTGGAAAGTGTCGCACCTTCATTCCTAACAATACTGCCCCAGATGGAGCATCACAACAGCATTACGAGGGTTAACAACTTTAGCCAATGAGTTGGCAGAAAATGCCAGAACTGATGACCCATTTACTGACTGGCTAGAGAGCTGGTCTGGGAAAAGGAAAGGAATGGTAGCCTCCATTCTGCCATTCCTTATAACAGTGGCTGGGGTCCTAACAGCTACAGGGTGTTGCATTATCCTATGTTAAAGGGTTAACCCCAAATTTAATTGAAACAGCCATCAACAAATGGCCATGACATATCAACTATTGTAAGAAACCAATCAGATCTACTCTCTTATGAAGAGTCAACAGCTCCTGAAACAATTTCAGGACCAAAGGACACAAAAATAAATGTGGAAATGGGACCAGTGGGAGTAAAAAGAGGAGGGAATTGAAGGAACTAGTGTCTGCAGTGGTCCATTTCCAAGACAAAGGGCCCTGAATCGGCTTCGGTCAGTAAACTACAGAAGAAATGGGATCCACTAGGCCCCTCTTGGATAGCCAATGCCTGCCTGTCACTGCCCCACACCCCCACCCACCGCCCCTCTTAGTTGCCCTCACCCGAACCAAGGAAGTTTAGTCTAAGATGAAAATTTACTAGCCTGCAAAACAGCTTGTTGTTTGTTCTCATCAGCCTGCCCATCTACTCAGGTCATGAGTCAAATACTTGAAGAGCCCCTGAGCTAGGTAGGATTACAACGTACTATGGGCTGCGACAAAATGCAGCAGGACAACCCTAAAAAAACACCTAAAGCCCCTGCCCCACCATAAACAGGCGACGTCTGGGAAGATGTGACCCCACAGTACTCAGCCTGTGAGGAGCCAGGGGAGGGGCCTGTGCACTGGGGGACAAACTGCTTGTTGTAACTGTGCTGGGTGTGCCTGCCCACAAGATGCCTGATCTTGCAAAACCATCATTAAAGTCCCACTTCCACTGTCCTCTGGGTCTCTGAGTCTATTCTTTGGGTTTGGATGGGTGAGTTTGTTTCTGGCATGGTGAATAGTGAGTTGGCCATGTCACAACACAGGTTCCACCTTTCCTGATAGGTCCCAGAAGCCTCATGTGAGGATGGGGATCTCTGGAAGTGCCGTTTATGACTTCAGAGGCTGTAGCCACAGCTGCAGAAAAGTCTACCACTCTGAGGGATTGCCTCTTTTAACGACTTGTTGCCACGGTAATAAAATTTATATTGACATCTGTCTTCTGAACGGTATAAGCAGTTACCAAGCTTCTTCATTAAGCCTGAAGACCTCTGGAATTTCTGCTTCTCCCTTTATGCATTAAGGTAACAGAAACCTCAGGGGTCTGCCGGATCCCTTACTCCAGGGCTGAGGTTATCCGTTCATTAAAAGTGACAAGTGTGTAACAGGAGCCAGGACAAAGCAGGTCCCTGTGACCAGTGCCACATCCTAGATGTCAGCAGGAAGGAAAAAAGAGCAAGACCAGCACCGCCCTAACAGCAAACACAAGGAAAATGTAGAGTTTATAACATAAGCAGCCACTAAACATCTAAATATGTAGCTCTTGTAGCAGCACTCAAAAACGTCAATCTGGCCAGGCGCAGTGGCTCATGCCTGTAATCACAGCACCTTGAGAGGTTCAGACAGGCAGATCACCCGGTCTCAGGAGTTTAAGACCAGGCGGGGCAACATGGTGAAACCCCGTCACCACTAAAAATACAAAAAGAAAGTCAATGAATATCATAACCATGTTCCAGACACTATGCTTTCACGTTATTCATTCTTACAAGAACCAGCGAAAATATGATCATTCCCACGCTCCAGATTAAACCAAATGAGGTTTAAGGAAATTCTGTGAGTCCAGGCAGTGACATGGACTGCAGGGGGAACCTTCAACTGTCGGACATCAAAGCTGTGCCCTCACAGAAGCTTTCTCTGGAAATCACAGGGACAAGACAGCATCTCCTGCAGACTGACCCGGAGAAGGGCTGGGCACAGAGTAAAACCAGTGTGTAACACGAGCAAAATCATGGCTGACAACAGTTTTTAACTGTTAATGTTGCCTGGTTTTCTTTAAGGTTTTGTGTTTTAATTAAGAGACCAAGGGTGGATGGCAGTAGTTTCTTCCACCGGTTCTGTGAGATGAACTGCAGGGAAGAAAACAGACACCTGCATCTACATAGATGTGCTACTCCCATTGGCTGGTCCCCATCATCAACTTCCCATTTTGTGTGATGGGCATATAAAGCCATGAGTGAACCTTTCCTCTATTTCATCTTAGAATTCATCGCTTCCAAAGAGAAAGAAGCCTACAAAGCAAGCCCAGGGGCAGATTCCCATTTCTGTCTACAGGGGACCTGTGGACACACAGCCTGAGGGGCAGCCCCACTTACTTGAAGGCTGGGGATGCTAAAGACCTCTTCCAAATGGCACAGACCACTCTGACTCAAGTCTAGAATTGGTGAGGAGGAAAAAATGATCCCTCCAACACCCTTGTGAACGTCTTTGGAGGGGGCGGCAGGCAAGCTCCTAGTTTGACCAGCATCCTCCTCCAGATCAGCAGCGGCTGCAGAGGGAGCTCTGTAGGAGCCGCTTCCCTCCATCCGTTCTCCTCCAGGGAGAGCAGCTCATCCTCCTTGGTCTGGAGTCACCTGGAGACATAGGAAGGGGAAATGCAGAAACAACTAAGTATACCGAGGCAAAGCGGAATAGCTGTGTGGCAGGTCCACGGTGATTCAGCTTGCTTTAAAAGCTATCGTTTTTAGCAAAAGTTTGACTTTTAAATGAGAGAAAAAAAAAAAAAAAAAGAAATACAAAGAGGTTCCGATTAAAATTCTCTGCTCTCACTCTGTACAACGGAGTTCCAAGATTTAACTCCCGGAAACGCAAAGGTGCACAGCAGGAAGATCATGTCAGGGACGTCAACAATGAGAACATCTGGAAGCCTGTAAACCAACTGCGATGCTTCCGTGAAATGACTGGGGCAGGTGGTTCCTTATCAGTGTGCAGTTTCTTGCCTCTGCTGTGTTCTGGGCCATTTGAACTATGTTTTTAGTTCCTTGAGGCCAGGAAGCCTGTCTTTTGTTTATCCTTTTGGCCCAGTGACCAGCACTGCCTGGCTAACACCCAGTTAAGCATCAGGGAAAGCCTGTCAAATTAAGAATCTTGAATTTTCATTGTCCAGCAACACTTTTTCTCAGAAGTATTGTTCATCAAAACCTCATTCAGCGAGGCACACTTTCAATTTCCAAACAACTTATTCGGCAATGAGAATCCACGTAGGAATGCATCAGCTCGACTACATAATTCCAATCACTCCGCAGCCCAGGGACTGGCATATGCGTGCACTTCATTCCCTGTTTAGGGAGGAGGCTGAGGCGCAGATGAGTTAACTGCTAGAGGGGTGCAGTTAATTGCGGGATAGAGGCGACAGTGGGACCCGGCAGGGTTCGACCCCAGGCGGCCTGCGTTCCATAGAAGTCTGCGGGCTTTTTCACGGTCAGTTCACTTGTTTTCTCCGAATCACAATCACGTAACTTTAAAAAGAGGAGGAGAGGCTTCAAACCTCAGAACAGGGAGAATGTCTTAAAGCCAGAACTGAAACAGCGCGGACTTCACACAGGGCCCAGGCAGCGCCGGGCTCCGTGGGGCTTCCCAGCCTGCCTTCAAGCAACCCCGACGCACGCCCACCCCCGTTCCCTGCCTCGGTTTCCCCATCCGGGCGAGGCTGAGTTGAATCCGACGCTCTGGGCTTCACACTCCAGGCCTGAGAGGTGCAGCCCCTGCCGGCAGCATCCGGGCGGGAGCTACGCTACAGGGCGCGCGGGGCCAGGCACCGCCTTCCCCCCGCCGTCCCTAGGAGGGCCCAGCGAGCCGGCCGTCCCCGCCCCGCCTCACCTTCGGGGCCCCCGCCCACCGGAGCGCGGGCGAGCCCCGCAGCGGAAAGCGGCAGCCCGACAATGGAGGCAGCCCGGCCCACGCGGTCGCCATGGAGACCCAGTACGGAAGCCCGCAGGCACCACGCCGCACGCGGGTGTTTGTGTGTGGTGCGCCTGCGCATGGGTGGGTGTGGTGCGCCTGCGCATGGGTGGGTGTGGTGCGCCTGCGCATGGGTGGGTGTGGTGATTTTGTATGTGTGCGTGTGTTTGTGGTGCGCCTGCGCATGGGTGGGTGTGGTGATGGTGTGTGTGTGTGTGTGTGTGGTGCGCCTGCGCATGGGTGGGTGTGTTGCGCCTGCGCATGAGTGGGTGTGGTGATTGTGTGCGTGTATGTGTGCACCTGCACATGGGTGGGTTGGGGGGGTTGTGTGCGCGCGCGCGCGCGGGGTGTGGTGCGCCTGCGCACGGGTGGGTGTGTTGCGCCTGCGCATGAGTGGGTGTGGTGATTGTGTGCGTGTGTGTGTGTGTGTGTGTGCGTGTGTGTGTGCACCTGCACATGGGGGGGGTGTGCGCGCGTGCGCGCTGGGTGTGGTGCGCCTGCGCGGGATGTGGTGCGCCTGCGCGGGATGTGGTGCGCCTGCGCGGGATGTGGTGCGCCTGCGCACGCACGCGGCCGACGACGGCAACCATTTTTCCGTGCCCGCAGTCTGAGAGCGGCAGTGACTGAGGGCACGTAGGGACCGAGGGAGTTTGGAAGGGCGAGCTGCCTGGCACAGAGGGGAAGAAAGAGAGCGGGATGGTGAGTGCCCTGGGGAGCCGGAGGGCGCGGGGCGGGCGGGGCTGCTCGCGGACAGCCGAGCAGTAAAGAATGGATGCCGGGGCACCTGTGCTCTAAGTCCTAGCAGAAGTGTTTGCGGTCACTCCCCCAGCTCCGTCCTTAGACCTGCTGCCCAGAAGCCCTTTCAGACTTCACCTTCACAGTCTGCACAGACTGGGAATCTCCAAAACCTCAGGGCCTGGGCCTTCCGAGCTGCCTCTCCCACGTTTTCCCACGAGCAGCGGCAGCCGCCCTCGCTGCCTGCCCTTCCCGCCCCGCTCACTCCCCGCTGCTCTCCTGGGGCTTCCTGGAGCCACTTCCTAGTGAGCTGCTTGTCCCCAAATCTGCCTCGGGGCTGGCTCCCAGAGGAACCCAGACTCAGACCGTCCCGAAGCAAGGCTGCCTCTGCTGAGTCTCCTGCCGTGGACAGAGGAGTGAGGGGGGCGAGGAAACGCGGTGATTGTTCTGAGGACGAAGAAAGAAAACAGCAAGGAAGCCTCACTTGGACCCCCTATGATTCCATCTCCAACCTGCCCAGTCAGCACTCCCCATGTCCCGAAGCCCCTGCCCTCCAAATTATCTGTAAAAAATGTGATCCCCAAATGAGCAGGGATACTAATAGTAAAACTCCGGTCTCCTGCACAGCTGGCTCTGCGTGAATTACTCTTTCTTCATTGCCGTTCTTCTGTCTTGATATCTCGGTTCTGTGTAGGCAGAGGGCAAGGTGAAGCCACTGGGCAGTTACAGAGGCAAGAGACTTTTTCCAGCCTGGTCTTCAGCGATGCTCCTGGCTCTTCTCCGCTGCTGTCAGTGACTTTCTGCCCCTCACTCTTCGAGGACAGACTTCCCAAGCACCCTTCCCTCTTTGGGGGTCCAGAGCCCCCACAAGCCCAAAGTCTGGATCCTGTGAGCTGCTATGTGTTTCTGGTTCATTTTTGGTCTATGAAGTGTTGCCAGTTTTTGATTTTTTCTTTTAAAAATTATCTATTATAGGCTGGGCATGGTGGCTTACATCCGTAATCCCAGCGCTTTGAGAGGCTGAGGCAGGTGGATCACCTGCGAGCGGGAGTTTGAGACCAGCCTGACCAACATGGTGAACCCCATCTCCACTAGAAATACAAAAATTATCCAGGTGTGGTGGTGCATACCTGTAGTCCCAGCTACTCGGGAGGCTGAGGCAGGAGAATTGCTTGAACCTGGTAGGCAAAGGTTGCAGTGAGAGGAGATCATGCCACTGCACTCCAGCCTGGGTGACAGAGTGAGACTCCATCTCAAAAAAATAAATAAATAAATAAAATAAAAAATTACCTATTGTAGCCATGGGTGGGGAGAATTGTGGGAGGGCCTCTGTATTAGTTTGTTTCATGCTGCTGATAAAGACATACCCAAGACTGGGAAGAAAAAGAGGTTTAATGGACTTACAATTCTACATGGCTGGGGTGGCCTCACTATCATGGCGGAAGGCAAGGAGGAGCAACTCACATCTTAGGTGGATGGCAGCAGGCAAAAAGACAGAACTTGTGCAGGGGAACTCCTGTTTTTAAAACCATCAGATCTTGTGAGATGTATTCACTATCACGAGAAGAAGATGGGAAAGTCTTGCCCTCACGATTCAATTACCTCCCACCGGGTCCCTCCCATAACACGTGGAAATTCAAGATGAGATTTGGGTGGAGACGTGGCCCAGCCATGTTAGTCTTTAAGCTTGAATTGAACTTGCAATACCGTCTTGCCCAGAGGAAATATTTTCCAATAAAGGAAATAAAACAGTTTTACTCTGCTTTAGTTTTTTTATGTAATACCTTATTGTGAAGCTGCCATAAGCTGTTTGATGTTTTTCCAATAATTCATATTCTTCTACCTTGTAAATCAAGAACATAATTCTAAGCCTCCCGCCCAACTGAATGGACCCCTCTTGTCAGTCAAGGAGATTCCAAAGAAACCTGAAAAACTAGTTCAGACCATTATAAGCAGTGGAGGATTGGGCATGCCTCATGATACGCCTCTCCTTTTTGGAGTTTAGCAAAACAGACCAGCATTAACATTAAAATAGAGATCTTTGCTGGGCGAGGTTGCTCATGCCTGTAATCCCAGCATTTTGGGAGGCCAAGGTGGGCAGATCACTTGAGGTCAAGAGATCAAGACTAGGCTGGCCAACATGGAAAAACCCTGTCAATACTAATACAAAAATTATCTGGGTGTGCACCTATAATCCCAGCTACTCAGGAGGCTGAGGCTTGAGAATCACTTGAACCCAGGAGGGGAAGGCTGTAGTGAGCCAAGATTGTACCACTGCACTCCAGCCTGGGTCACAGAGTGAAACTATGTCTCAAAAATAAAAATAAAATAGAAATCTTAAGACTGACAGAACAGACTAGCAATGAGATACCAACTCCAACTGACTCGTCTATCACCTGATAGATAAAGAAGGAAATCAAGATATTTTATCCCCAAATTTATTTCTTTTCCATATTTTCAAATGGCCCTGCCAAGCTGTCTTTTGTGGAGGGAGATTTGCATCTGTAAAGAATCTGTAACATTACTACAGGTATTGATCGACTTACCACCTATGCAACTTACGACTATTCAACTTTACGACCACAATCGCTAGCCACGACTGCTCCGTGTTGGCAGCGCAAACGTTGCCCAGCTGGGCGTACGACAATGTGGACCAGCTTCCGGCAGCACTACCATCTCCGCGTGCACCATTTCAGCTGTACATATAGCCTACTCAACTTACGACCAAATCGTGTTACGACCGGTCCGCGGTCCCGACTGTGGTCGTAAGTCGAGCACTAGCTGTACATCTTACCCTTCTAGACCTTCCCAATCCTGAGACGGTCTCGCACCTTTTAAAGGTCTACATAGGAAACCACATTAGTCCATTTTCATGCTGCTGGTAAAGACATAGCCAAGACTGGGAGATTTACAAAAGAAAGGTTTATTGGACTTACAGTTCCACATGGCTGGGGAGGCCTCATAATCATGATGGAACGCAAGGAGGAGCAAATCATGTCTTACATGGATGGTGGCAGGCAAAGAGAGAGCTTGTGCAGGGGAACTCCTCTTTATAAAAGCATTAGATCTTGTGAGACATATTCTCTATCATGAGAGCAGCCTGGGAAAGACTCATCCCCATGATTCAATTACCTCCCACCGGGTCCCTCCCACAACATGTGGGAATTCAAGATAAGATCTGGGTGGGGACACAGCAAAATCGTATCAGAATTCCACCAATGAGACTTCATCTACTGATAAGAACCTTGATCTCCACAACCCCTTATCTTAACCCAGACACTCCTTTCTATTGATTCATTCCAAGTCTTTAGATAACAATTCAGTTCAATTCAACCAATTGTCAATCAGAAACTCTTTGAATCCACCTATGACCTGTCAGCTCACTCCCCTGTATCCCTCCCCAGCTCGCTTTCAGTTGTCCTGCCTTTCCGGACCAAATGTCTACCTCACATGCATTGATTGATATCTTATGTTCCCCTAAAATGTATGAAACCAACTTGCAACCCAGCCACCTTGGACACATCTCAGGATCTCTTGAGGCTGCCTGGGGCCATGGTCACTCATATTTAGTTGAGAATAAACCTCTTTTAAGTATTTGACACAGCTTGACTCTTTTTGTCAGCATCAAAGGAAAGACACCTTTTAAAAAATGTAAAATATACTTTATAGAAAGTTGAATGTAAGGACAATACAGATTTCTATGTAAGTTCACCGATTTCAGAATGGCCTAAAATTGTTTTTTGGAAGATGTTCAAAATGCCCCTGGAAGCTGATTCCATTTCTGTTCTGCTGTGCCTGCTGTACCAATTGTCATACAATGTGACAGCCGAAATGCATCTCCCTTCCTTGAAAAGAGTTCAGACTGCAAAGTGAAGATGACCTCTGTTTCCTCGCATAGATCTTCTGAGAGCACAACACATGACTGGGATTGTGCCAAGAACATGTGGAATGGTGTGGAAAGACAGAAGAAGCTGCAGCCTTCAGGCTGCCATGGAAAAGCTGGTGGTGTGCTCTGTGGCCCTTCAGGAGGGGGTGTGTAATGAATCTTCAATGAATTTCTCAGATGAGCCAAAGTGGTGAACTTGTCTCAGTACCCAGGGAGAGTCAGACTCATCCACAGCTCTTGGCCTCCATTTTCCCAGTTGCTGTGGTTGGAGTGGGTCCCTGGAATTCATATGTTGGAAACTTGGTCCAGGCATGGGGGTGTTGGGAGGTGGGGCCTCTAAGGTGTGATTAGGCCATTAAGAGAGATTAACGCTGCTCTTTAGGGACTGGGCGAATTCTTGAGGGAGTGAGTGGGTTCCCACTCTCTCCAGACAGCATTAGTTGCCACAAG